CAGTGTTTTGTTGGTTTTATTGAAATGGGTGGCTAAAAACATTTCAGATACATAGAGAAATACTCTGCAGAGAAAGGATATAGTTGCATATTTGCCAAAGGACATAGTCAAAACACTGTGCTACTCACCTCCAAGGGGATTTGATTAGAGAAACACCCCTAGAAGCTCTTTGAGAAGCTGTAAAATATCTGAGAAGGTACAGAATGTATTAACCCCTGCCACAGTACAGAAAGGAGCTTTGTACATGAGGGAGTTGGAGAAGTGCCAGGGTACAAGTACTCAAATATCACTGTGTGCTGAAAGAAGCTGAGTCTGTGAACTTTATCTCAACAGAAAGAGAAAGAGAAAAGGCTTCTGACACTATTAATATGAGTGTGCAGCAGTGATAAATCACTAAGCTGAAAACTGACAGGTTCTGAAAAATACAGAAAGAAGTTTCAAGACTTGAAAGTGGTTCTGCAGAAGAACTAGAGGAGGTTTCTGGAAATATTTGACGGATGACTGACATAAAAACCTGAATTAATTTGGCACAATGACATTACTGGATATACACTGGAGGTTTGTTTGAGATAAGAGAATAGTACTTAGAGCAGGAAAGAAAAGACTAAATCTTTTGAAACTACTTGAACGGGCAGGACACAAAAGATGAAAAATTTTAATCTTGATTACTGAAGCTGCTGGAAAAATCACTAGCATCCACATAAGCCACTGACAAGAGTTCCATAAAGACAGAGCAAAACTCAAATACAAGCTAATTTTGACACAGAACTGTCCTGGTTTCATCTGGGACAGAGTTAGCTCTTCTTTTTAGCAGCCAGAAAAAGCTCTGTGTTTTGGTTTTAGTCTGAGACTTGCTCTGAGAAGAATGCTGATAGCACATTGATGTTTATAGACGGCACTGAGGTCTCAAGGACTTTTCAGCTTGCCGTGTTCTTGCCAGTGTGCAGGAGCACAAAAGGATAGAGGGGAGCATAGCCGGGATGAGGGGTCCACAACTCTCCTTATGATTGGTACTTAGACTTAGGATTGAGGGCCAAACTGGCCAATTACTATTGCATATCATGCAGCATCATGCCCAGTATAAAAGTGAGGGGCAGCTGGAAAGAAGGGCCTTTGCTCTTCCGGGACTCTCACTTTTGGACTCTCGGAGTGCTCTCTCTGCCTCGCTCTCTATTTTCGGGCCTCCCGTTCATCTGGGACTGCGGTGTCAGGACTTATCTGTTTCGGGATCGTTAATTTGGGACGAGACAGGCCTTGGTCAAGGGGTGGTGAGCAATTAGAATCATAGAATCATAGAATGGTTAGGGTTGGAAGGGACCTCAAAGATCATCTAGTTCCAACCCCCTTGCCATGGTCAGGGAAATCCTCCACTACACCAGGCTGCCCAAAGCCTCATCCAACCTGGCCTTGAACACTTCCAGGGATGGGGCATCTACAACTTCTCTGGGCAACCTGTTCCAGTGCCTCACCACCCTCAATGTAAAGAATTTCTTTCTTACATCTAA